GCGGAGCTTCTAGTAGGCTCAATCTTGAAAATCTAGCTAAGTTTAAGACCATTTTCTAAATTCGGGATCGGATCGCATGTTGGGTCGATTCAACAAGAATTCACAGTCTCACCTATGTCTACATTAGATGTGAACACGATATTCATAAGCAAAAATATCCCTAATTTCAAAATGCCGAAGAATGCAGTAAATAAAGAGAATGCAAGACCATGCAATATTGATATTTGTACTTGAGAATCTAATTCCGTCATTGTCTGCAGATTCGATCCCTAATTTTTATGAAATGCAAAAGGGACGTCTCCGGTCGGGAAAATTTAGCCGTCAACAAGCGTGTTCTCCAACCAATATAAAAGCTAAGAACTTTCATACAGAGAATGAAGATGTAAGACGAGATGGGGTCCTTGTGGTTGCGGAGCATAACCAATCGGCATTGGTGCTGATACAAGGCTGTGGGTGCTCGGTTTCCCGGGTTTCCAATTCTTGGATGTAAGCGAAGCATCTATATATAGACTTTGGAACATATAACTTAGGTTTTATTCGTATCAAGAAATGAGAAGTAAGGCCGAAAATACTATATAAATTGAGTTCATTATAGCCAGTCCAGCATATTATGCAAGAGTGGGTGTCATATAATCTCGGCCAGCAAAATTCAAATATATATATATATATGTGTGTGTGTGTGTGTGTGTGTGTGTGTGTGTGTGTGTGACAATAAGTATTGTGGTCACATTTTAGGACTTGATTGCTCTTTTTGAGAGTTTTACGACTCGATTGCAGTTTCGTGATAAGTTTTACACTTGATTGCACTTTTTTGAAATTTTTAGGACTCATTGCACATTTGGAACAAGTTTTAGGACTTCTAGTGCATTTATCGTATTTTGGAAAATAGAAGAGAAAACGTACCAAAAGGGCATTAGAGTAATCTAGCGTAATCAAGTTCTCATATCCATAATCTCTAGTTTGTAGTAAAAAAGTATTCTCCTACACTTTACTTAGGTATCTAATCGACTTACCAATAACTAATTAGTGGCGATTCCAAATTGAAATGAATCGTATGTTAAATTGGTTAAATAAAATTTTACAAAAAATGTGCGATTGGTAGGGCTTGAGAGTCCGAGTTAAGTGTAGGCTTAGCAATCCATTAACCATCCCCTAGGGCGGTTCACCCGAGGGAATGTCACGACAGCTTGGCAACTCCATTAAAGACTTGAATTAAAATTCTTAGTGAACTTAAGCCGAATTTTCTCTTTAAAAAATATTTTGTTTGGCAGTATGGAGATAAGGTACGTTCCTTACATTGTCCTAAATGTTCTTGCAGATTGGAAGTTATAAGGGGTGGAACGTTTGCTAACCTTTATCATGCAGATTGGTGATGGGAATGAATGGCTTAAATTCAATTTGGAAGGAGTGTTTGCTTCTTCGTCAAACACTCTCCTTCATTGTCATCTCCCCTTTGTGATTAGGCATTAGAATTTGTTTGAACACACTCTCCTAAATGTTTTCAAATTAGGGCTAATTGAAGAATAAAGAGAGAATTATGAATTTCCACATCGATTTGCCACGTCAACTGAGTTTTTGTCACTTTTCATCAATCTCAGTAATTTCACAATAAATTTTGATGGAAGCTAACGGATGATAATGTTATCATGGAAATATCAGTTTGACATTTTTGGTGACCCTCTTGTGTGTAGGCCACCACGTCTCTTGCTCTCGTCCTTGTCTCTTGCTCTCAGTTGGAACTTTTTAGTTTCTTGTGCTCTGCTGAGAACCCGAAACAGATTGTCATTAATTTAATGCTTTTCCATTTCGTACTGATGTTACAGATTTGGAGGTTCTACAGCCAAATTTTGGGAGGAAGGAAATGGGATTTGAAGCTCCGAGATGAAAGTCAGTTCCATTTTTGTTTCTCAGAGAATTTACAGTTCGTACAGCATCTTTCGGGAGTTTTGGGGGTTTGCTTTCACTTTTTTTCTTGCCCTTCTGAGGTTTGCTTGTAAAAATGCACGAGGAAACGAAGTTTGTAAATTAGATAGATGAAAATAGCAAACAGAGATATAGAAGTTGTACGTTGGAGATGAGTTTGGGAATCAAAGTTGGTGAAGCCCTCAAGCCATTTGGAAGAACAGAGTTCAGATCATTACCATTCAATCTTTTGATCCTGATTGATTGTTGTTAATTTTCTTGCATAAAGCACGAGAAAAAGCAAGAAAGAAAGAAAGAAATGTCAAAGATTAATCTCACTTATCTCTCGTCCATTGGTCAAGCCACATTTCCATGGAATATGACTGAAGATTGATATCATGCAGGCTTAGACCCTAGATTCTCGCCTGAGCATAAGAAACCACATGATATTGTATCATAATTTTGCTTCTCATGTTCTCTGCTGCCAGAGTTAAATAGCTAACTTTTGTAATCTTATACAAATGCTGATGAAGACATGACAAATTAAGTGGACACACGAGGCCGCATATATGAAATTAACAAAGCAATTTAAAGGCTCTACAAAATCATCGAAAAGACGGATATATTATGGAATTGACATCATGTTGAACTTGAAGAATTTGTCATCCCAATTAATTAGGTATGCGCGCAAAGACCATGACACTACACAATGTGTTGGTCAAGCGCTTCATATCGTAGAGATGTAACATGCAATATTCTTTTCCAGAATCACAGTTCATACCAATTCAAATCTTTTGACAAAGAAATCAACTTTAATGCTGCTATTCATTCTACAATGTGATACTTTATTGAGCATGCATGACCACGAATTTCCATGCAATCAAAACTGGAGAAATCTTGTATTTTGGGTTGGACTTGGGAGGCACAAGTGTGAACGGTGTCTAGTCAAAGCAAGGGACAGAACAAAATGAACGTAAGCTTTTAAGTTTGAAAACATGTACTCTGCTTTTCCATATGTCTGCATCGCTCATAACAGCTCATATCTCTCTTGCACTACATTATATTAGTATGACCTCTCTGTTCACCAGAGCTCCGCTTTAATTTTATCATTCTTAAAATTTTTCACTCTCCAGCAACCGGCACTCGTTTTTTCAGCCATTTGTTCGCTACTTTACTCAAACCACACTTCCATGGTAAGATTTTGTCTTCATAGTGTTTTCAGGTGCCTTTGCTTGTCTTGTGTATTAGCCATAACTTCTTCGCTTTTCCTTCTGTTTTTTCTTTCTTTCTTTCGTGCGCTTGGTCAAGCCTAAAGTGTTTTAGGTGCACATAAAGCGCGGATACTTCCAACCTCCCTCATCTTCTCCACTCAATCCGTTTGTAGTGTACCGGCTAATTAGATGCTTCCGGTGTTCGATTACCAAGTCGATAGTGATGGTTAATAAGAACTCATTGGATACTTTCTGGAATAATTCTCGTCTATAACTGTAATTCTTCAATTGTGATATTGGGTCTCAAGTAAGTTTGAACTGCCTCCCAGATGGTAAAAAGATATAGGTTGTTCATATGATTTACCTAATATCCCGCCGGATTAATCTGTCTTTGCGTAGATGAATCGTGATTATCCCTAATGCCTGACCAAGGCAACAGACTTACTGCTTGTCGAAAACAAATCTGGACATGAGACCAGGAGAGAAAAATATGAAACTGCATCACATCATGAGTATACTACACAGAGATCAATGCGGTCTTACTATTATGGAGTCATTACTCAATCCGATCATTCTAAATGAAGCCTTCAATCAATAGAACGTACAAACTGCCTCTTTTCTATTTCCAAATGCACTAAAATTATGTCTATTACACAATGCACTAATACCATCCTTGCAGACACCTTCTGATGCCCATTTCGTATTCCGCTCACAATTGCTGGTCTATTTTGGTCTTGACATCTAGAATAAACATGAGCTGTGAATGACTCAAGACTTTGAGATTCTCAAGACATCATCATCAGTCTCTTTGCTCTTTCTTGTAACACGTATGTAGCACAAGACCACCACGACCAAGGGCATCACAAATCCTCCAAGGATCACATCCCCACCGGTCGGCCCGGAGGAATGATGCCTTTGTACTCTTCTCGTGGCTCTCATCACTGGAGCTTTTGCCATCACGCTCAATCCAATCCCACCTTCAAATGGAGCCGGACTCAGAGCAGGTGTATGTAAACTTCTCTCTGTCGGTAATACTGATATGCCTGAATCGTCATATGCCCTTGTCTTGGCCATGAACATGAAAAACATGGCTAATGCAATATACATGACTGGATGCAGCCAAGCCATGTATTTGCTGCTTCGAAGGATTCTTGGACCAAGATGCAGAGCAATGCAAATGTACGAGACATGAGAGGTTTATTTATAAGGGAATGTGTAGGATTCAATTGATTCCTTCTTTGTAAAGTAATTTCGAAAAAGTTGGTAAGACCACGGTCTGAGGACTGAAAATCAAGGAAAGCGTGGAGAAAAAGCAGGCGACAAAATTTAGGCAGATGCTTTAGCATTTAACAAGGGGAGTTGTGTTTGGATAGGTTGATCTGAGGAAATGTCCTAGGACCATGTATTGAGACTTTAAGTTATTATTTTTATATGCACAGTCTGTGAAGAAGATGGATTGTCAGATTACATAAGACAAGCAAGAACAACTGGCTTTCTTTCTATTGCGGTCTCAGGATCACTCAACACTCTTGTGAAGAAGAATTTTGTTTAATGGGATTTTTTCTTCCCTTTTGCCAGGGAATACCTGTCTGTCTTGTTGATTATGAAATGCAAAATCACAGTCACGTGGAATTGAACAGATTGCGAAGTTTGTATCTTGATGTAAAATATGAAAAGAGTTTTCAGTGAGTCTGCCTTGAGGCAATGGTCAGATCCCATTATAAAACTCTGTTTGGTATCCCATGTTCCTGATTTCTTTTATTGCGTCTCTAGACAGGCATGACGAACTGAAGGCAGCTTACTACTTCAATGTCTCGCTTCTTGAGGGTCACTTATTATCACACACTATGCACTAAAAATGAATCATTTGTTTAATTTGTTCCCGCCGTTCAAGAGATGTTTGATTCTACAGTTGATCCATCATGTTATTGTTACGCATAAAAAATGTAAACAATTCTTATGCATAGATTTCAAGCTTTGACTGACTTTCCAACAGCTGAATCCACAGAACTAATCACTAGTCTTTACATAATCATAAATGCATAGGATAATGTATCTAGGGAAGATAACAGAAAATAGGAGAGGTGTCCTCCATTTTATTATGCCTCAAAATGTTTCCTGATTATAAAAGTTTATGGCTGATTAAATGCCTTTGATAATCTCTTGGAGCAAATCTTTGGTCCGTGAAGCCTTAAGCATTTCGCCAGAAGCCCCCTGAAAACAAACCACATAAGACCTAATTACATATCATTGATCAACCGTGTTCAATTGCCAAAGAAGGTAATTTATTCTTATTGAGCATACCTCCATACATGACGATATGAGCATTGCACCTTTAAATGCCGTGACGCTGGGATCGGTCAGTTCGAAACCGCAAATGCTCAGCGTCTCCAACAACTTGGTGAATCGGCTTCTTCTCTTCGGGATTACGATCTTAATCCACAGCTTATGTTCGTCAATGCTGGTCACCTGAACATCTGGCTGCGCACCCACCGACAGAGTTAGACCAATCAGTTTCAAAAGTCAGCATCAGAAGACGATGCAATGTCAAATTTCTAAACCTTAATCCCATTTGCTTCCATATCTTGCGCTGCGTCAATCTCATCGACCAATGCCTTTGGCCTGTCTTCACACAGTGCCTCCGTTTCGAGAAGTTGGTCACTCAGGGCCTTCACATTCTTCTGTAGCTCCACTATGTAACTCTCTGCATCATCTAAAATTGTTGCCAGGTTCATCTGACATAGACAGAAAAGCACCAAAAAATTCGCGGGGTCAGAATCTATACTCATATATGTCTGCACAAAAATGATCAGTAGGTTCTTGGGTATTTGCATTTGTGATTTTTGGGACTAATGAGCGTAGCGTCAGGAGCCTCTGGTTCAGCTTTAATCGCCTCCGCCTCTCAGCTTCCAGGTTCTTGGACTTGTATTGAGTGTCATCCTCCTCCTCCTCGAGCTGCCCTCGGCCGATCCTTCCATTCTCGCAACCTCCAATTTCACTTAAGCACAGTCCATCCATGGCACAAATCAAGGATGGACTGAACTTCAAGTGAGTGGCCAATTGGGATAAATCTTGCTGAGAAAGAGACACTGGGAATGAGAAGTACTTGAAATGGGAGTTTGTCCTGGATTGGTTATATAAAGCTCAGCCTCACAAGAGTAACATGCCATGTAGGAGAGAGATTCTATTGTTTGCTGTGAGTTCTCATCTTGCTGCTACAAATCTGTTGGGTAGTTCAGTCCAGTTGTTAATTCCATTCTGTTGGGCAATCTCATTTATGACAAAGCCCCAAAAGACAAAAAGAGAGAGAAAATATTATGCATATGAGCTTGTAGGATATTCTGGGGATGAGTAATTACTGAGTAGAATGATGGGAATCATGCACACTTCCTGTAGAAAAACAAAGGGTTTCCATTGATCATTGTCCCCAAAAGGGTTCATTGATCAGTCTGGGGAAGTATGGTCAATGTTAGATTTTATATGAGCAGTTGCTCATAATTGACCGGAGGCAATGGAAAAGTTGTGCACTTGACTTACCAGAACAGTAACAGAATGCATCATAATTCTTCTGGAACTTGGAAACCCCTTTCTAAAAAAATATATAATACATATACATAAGTATAAATTCATATACATCGAAATATATATATATATATATATATATGTTCCTAATCAATGGAGCCCCGTTGTAATTTTCCATATCTTCCTTGACTATAGTGAATTTTATTGGAAGTTTCACAATAAGGATGGAAAAGGATGCTTTGGACATAGAGAACTACAAACAGCCTACCATAGGGTTATGTATATGATTCAAAGATCTCTTTGTTCATTTTTGTAATTATTTTCTACTGGCTCTTTTCTCCCCTTTTCTCAACTAATTCTCTCTTTCTTCTTTTTCATATTTTCGATGCGAGTTTTCTTAAATTTATTTTTTTACTCAGTTTCACTTTCCCCATACACATATTGCCATTGGGATTTTTACACTCCTTTTGCATATTGTCACAAGTCACAACAAATTCGCCTCAGCATAATTTCTCATGTGATCTGCTGGTTTTGCCTTTTGATAAACTATCCTTTTTACGTTAAATGTGTTGGAGAATTGGGGATGAAGATAAAAATATGAAATTGAATGTGAGGTCTTGCTCTTGAATAGACACTGTCCTTAAAGTGTACAAATTCGTTTGTTTTGACTCATTGACCATAAATTAATATGAATAACATTTGGATTTAATCGATTTACTGCCAATATTAGAAGTAACAAACCAATATCGCATGTATCTCTTCGCAATTATTTTCATAAATCAAAGTAAGTTAAGATAAACCAAATAAATATTTTTGGAAATTTAATTTCCAGAGCTAAAAGTAACATTAAAATAAACCCGAAATTAAAATTCAGTTTTTGCCTAGTGTCAAGTGCCCATTTTTTAAACTTTTGATAATGTAGTATTTTTCCTTTTACCTCCACGCTCTTTTCCATTAAATTCAGTCTCCCATCATTGACACAAACTCTAAAAATTGCCCCCAAATTTTCTAACATTTTCTATCTTAATCTTTCCATTTCGATAATTACCGGAAACTGTAATACATATTGAATTTGAGTTTCATAGATCTAAGTATCTTACGATATTTGAGAAATGCACACACCAAAGGCTTGTGCAAATACTAACTGCGCCGTTCCGTTAGCCCCGTTAATTTTTTCTTAGAAGAGACATCGTCCGTGAATATATTCTTTTTATATTAAATTTCCACCCTAGGTGCTTGTCACCAGAGTGACAAAGCTTTCTTTCAAGGACAAGGCGCTCATGTGGTGCCTAGTGAGATCCCCATTTTAAATAAAAAAAAAAGGAGAAAAAGTATACTGTAAGTGTTATAACTTTTTTTTTGTCATTCGAGTATCATAACTTTTGTATAACTTTCACTTAAGCGCCATAACTTTGTCTAGAACACTTGAATGATAAATAACCTTTCAATCGATCACTTGAGTATTTACAACTTTTTTAAAAACATTCCAATATTGGAGTGAACTATTTTGATAGTTATGACACTGTATTTACAAATTTTTTGAAAACATTCCAATATTGGAGTGAACTATTTTGATAGTTATGACACTCAAGTGATCGTTTGAAAGTTATAGCATTCAAATGAATAATTTTTAGAAATCATGACACTCAAGTGTCAAAAAAAATAGTCATTGCACTCAAATATGACTCTTGTGATATCATCCAAAAAGGACTATAGATTGAAAATGAAAAAAAAATATTAAAAAGAGCTAAAGGGAGTGAGGCCTTCGCAAGAGAGGACGAGCAACTCTCGTCGAGACCCCGATGAGTGTTGCGAGCGAAGGAGGTGGCTATTACGCCACCCTGTGTCGCTCACCCCTCTTCCCTTGCGTGCATTCGTTCTCTCTAATTTTTCCATTTACAATTTTGAACTTATCAATGATGTAGCAGTTGCTACGATGAAAATTAACAATGAATGTTACTTGAGTTATTAGAATTCCCATTTTGTATTTCTTTTTTTTGTAAGTTTTAGGATCCAAAAGAATAATTAGTTTTACGGCTTTAATGCACTTTACGGACTGCCCATGTTTAGGGACATGTAATTCACCCTAGAACGACCAACAATGCAACTTTTAAGGGTGTCCGACTCCGTTGTCGCAAACGAGACCACCCCTTTCTAAGACCCCTTCCTCTGAACCACTCGTGGCAGGAAGCGACCCGCCATGTCCTCGGTGCTTCGGCGACTCCATGGCGTCTTGACCGGACGGCCCAGGCTCCCCCGCGTGGACCTCGGCAAGCAATGCGACCTCGGGCAACTGGTCGCCAAGTTCAAGCAGCTCTCCGAGTCCGGCGAGTTTCGTCGCAGGCGTGTCCTGTACGAGAAGACCGTCCGGCGCCTCGCCAGGCACCGGCAGTTCGCCTTGATCGAGGACCTCCTCGAAGACCAGAAGCAGTACGTGGGGAGTTCCAGCGACAAATTCGCGGTCCGTTTGATAAGTCTTTATGGGAAAGCGGGCATGTTCGAGCATGCCCAGAAGCTGTTCGACGAAATGCCTAGCCTGAAGAGGGACCGCTCGCTGCTGCACCTGAATGCCCTTTTGGCTGTCTGTATTTGTTCCAATAAGCTCGATAAGGTCGACGAGATTTTCCGTCTGTTGCCAGAGAAACTGTCGCTGGATGTTGATGTTTGCACCTACAATACAGTTATTAAGGGTTATTGCCGGATGGGTGCAAGGGAGAGAGAAGGCCGATCAGGAGAGAGCTAAAATTCGGTAGGAGCAGAGGTGGCTGGTGCTGGCTGTGGCAAAGGTTGAGGTCGGCAGCGATGTGGAGATTGGTTGTTAGGGGTAAGTTGGAGAGAGAGAGAGAGAGAACAAAGAGGGTGGCGAATGCGACAGGGAGGACGAGCAGTGGTGGCCAGCGTCCGCCGCGCCAGAGGTGGAGTAGTGTGGTGGTATGGAGGTTGGCGTCGGTGGCAATGTGCTCGTGCGAGCCCACGCACACACATTGACACACCGAGGTTGCGGATTCTTGGTATGTACTGTGTTGGACGGGATTTTCTGCACACAAGTTTGTAAAGTTTAACTATCGACTCTGGTGAGTGAGAATTCTGGTGCACATTGCACATAAGTTTAGTGAGGATGAGGCAATATTAGACCCGGCGAATCCTCAAGCCGAAATTTTTGTGGGCGAGTGTGAGTCTATGGTAACGCTTGGAGGGGGCGATTACGATGTTCACCAACTTCGGAATTTCTTTTGTGATGGCCAATGAAAAAGGTTCATAAAGTTAAAAAAAAAAAAAAAACACTAGATCAAAAGACCCCATTTCTTTCTTTCCCTTGAGTTCTCATATGGATAGATACCGGAATTTTTGCCTAAGGAAAATAAGAAAATAAACTAGTGTAATTGGTTTTCGGTCTGGTCCGATTCTGGGTGGAATCGGGAATATAGTCGATTCGTTCCCCCTTTGGAACCACCCCTAGGAACCGGGAACTAGACCGGCGCTCTCGTAAACCGGACCCAGCTGGTTAGTTTGGTCCAGTTCAGTCGGTCCGTCTTACTCACCCTTAAAATAAACATGACCTGCAGCCTAATAAACTCAAATGCTAAGTGTCTTTCCGGTATTTTTCTTTTTATTACTATGACCTGTTTTTGAAGAAAAAAAATTAAAATTTGACGAGTATCGTGAGCAACTCATCGAATTAAGTAGTAACGAGTTCAAACTCCATTTGACAAGATAATCAAATAACTCGAGTTCGAGCTCAAATCGAAATTAAACGAGTCGATCCCAAATAATCATCGATCGGGAATAACTCGAGTTCGAACTCCATTTGAAAAGATAATCAAATAACTCAAATTCGAACTCAATTCGAAATTAAAACGAGTCTAAAACTATGAATTTGGAATAGCTAATCAACTTAGTTTTTGCCCTTGTTTGCAACTACTCAAAACAGTTCTAAAACCCTTCCTCTGAAGTTCAGAACCACTCGTGGAAGGTAGCACGCCCCCATGTCTACCGTGCTTCGTCGCCTCCGTGGCGTCTTCGCCAAGCCACCGCCCCGTACCCGCACTCGCATAGACCATCTCAGCGGACGACACGACCTCGAGGAGGTGGTCGCCAAGTTCAAGAAACTCTCCCGGTCGACCCACTTTCGTCGCAACAACGTCCCGTACGAGAAGACCGTCCGACGCCTCGCCTATCACCAGCAGTTCGCCTTGATCGAGGACCTCCTCGAACACCAGAAGCAGTACGTGGCGCGCTCGAGCGACAAGTTCGCGGCCCGCCTGATCGGCCTTTATGGGAAAGCGGGCATGTTCGAGCACGCCCGGAAGCTGTTCGACGAAATGCCTAGCCTAACACGACAGCCCTCGCTGGTACACCTTAATGCCCTTTTGGCCGCCTGTGTTGAATCCAAGAAGTTCGATGAGGTCGACGAGATATTCCGCCTGTTGCCGGAGAAACTGTCTCTGGAGATTGATGTCTGCACTTACAATACAGTTATTAAGGGCTACTGCGTGATGGGTGATCTTGATTCTGCTCTCTCGTTGCTTGACGAGATGGAGAACAAAGGGATTAAGCCTAATTTGATATCGTGGAATACCTTGCTTGAGGCTTCTTATGGAAAGGGCAGGTTATCGGAGGGAGAGAAGATATGGGATCTAATGGCGAGCAAGAATGTTACTCCTAGCGTCAGGAGTTACAATCCAAGACTTCGTGGAGTACTTTTGCAGAACAGAGTCGCGGATGCTGTTAAGCTGTTAGATGAAATGCGGGGTAAGGGAATCAAGGCTGATACACACAGCTACAATGCTTTCATCGTTGGGTGTTGCCAAAATGGAGACTTGGACGAAGCCAAGAACTGGTATTGGCGGCTCATGGAGAGAAAGTGCAATGTTGATCGGGTGACGGTGTCTGCTCTTGTCCCTTTGCTTTGTGAAAAGGGTGACTATGAATTGGCCCATAGGCTTTGCATTGAGGCCATGGATCAGAAGTTACTTCGCGGAACAGATACTCTGCAGAGTGTCGTAGATTTCTTGGTTCGGGAATCGAAAGTTGAACTGGCAACAGAGATTGTGGAACATGGCAAGGCCAAGAAGACACCGTATAATCTAAAATTGCCTCAAGCAGCGTAATGGCTTTTCTCGCGTAATGTAACAATCAACTGTTATGGTTACTACTAGTCAGACTTCATTTCCCCGATGGTCTTTGCTGAGCTCAAACTTCGATATACGATATTGTGGATGGCATTTTATCAATCAACTAGGCCACAGTGAACTAGGGGAAAGCATGAAACAGGTTCCATTTATTAAAGAATGCCTTTTCCCTTCATTGTTTCCACTGTTTTTGGGGTTGTTGAGGAGATGCAAATCGGTATTGACGCTGTTCTGTTCATAAGACTGTAGAGTCTTGACTTCCCGGGTTTTGAACTCTTCGGCGTAACTGTAACGAGAGCATCATTAGGTTTTTAATTCAAAGCAAAGGGAACTATGGCCATTTTCTCATTTGGTTTTGTATGTGGGGAAGGCATGGTGCAATGCAAGGAGTTTCGCGCTATTGTCCCTCTCGAGTTCCTTGCAGTGACAAAGCCGAGTGCTACTTGCTGTTCCCATTATGATTCTTCATTTTTTCCTGGCTGAGCCGAGTCGGGGGCTCTGAATCACGGGCTCATTCATACCCGGTCTGCGCCTAAGTAAGGTGCTTCTCACGTTGGGTGCAAAGAATCCTTCTCTCTACTCTTTACCCATAGATCATTGCATTGCTTTGTTCTTCTCTTGTCTATGGGCTTTTGTTGAAATAGAAAGTGCTTCTGTCGCCATGTTGCATGCAACCCTTTTGCTTTTCCGACGAATCTTTATTTTTGGTGAGAATTTTGCTGCCTATATTTGCAGAAAATTTTCTAACTCTTTTTGATTTGTCTCATTTAAAATTTTGTAATAGGGATTTGTTGTTCTCTCCGTTTACTGTCGCTTTCTCATATGACTTAAAAAGTTTGTGGTCCCTTTTATGTTTCTATCAAAATATTATCGTTCATAGATGAGAACACGTTAGAAGATGTATCTGAACGCTCATTTAGAAAAGGGATAATGACAAACATGGTTTTTGAACTTTGGCTCAATGTGCGATATAATCTCTGAACTTTTAATTTATTCAATGCGATCCTTGGACTTTAGGTACATATTCAATATAGTCCCTGAATTTTATGATATGTTGAATGTTGTCCTTTTATTAATTTAAGATTAAATACAACATTGAACATTTTTTCATAGTTTGAGGACTCAATTGAACATGTTCAAAAAATTCAAGGACCATATTGATCAAATTAAAAATTCAGGGACCACACTACACATTGAGCTAAAGTTTAGAGATCACATTGAACAAATTAAAAGTTCATGAGCCACATTGCACATTATGCCAAAATTTAGATTATTTGTCATTATCCCTTAGAAAACTTGTGGATTTATTACCTAACAGGTCCTTCAATAAGATCAAGGTAATACTTGAAATGTCACCTTCAGTCTATCAACTAATAAGCTTTGATCGACAGGCTTTGTTGATCCAATATAGCAAATTTATAATTTTTTTAAAAAAATCAGAAAGCAATAGTTGAATTATTTCATGATGATTTTCAAATAATTTTGTGAAATTCCTTCTATAAAACTTAATGTAGGACCTCCAAATAATTAATTGAAGATACCCTATCATAAGAATTTTTTTTTACTAGAACACAGATTAAGTTGCACTCTATGATTGGATCCTCTCCGTCGCATGACCCGGGCACAATCACAAGTCCGACTGAGCGTTATTTTGGGGATCTTGCATCCACCATATGATGTTCGATTCAAGTCACAATTATCTCGTTCACTTAGAATTTGAATATTCAGAATTAATGAGCTTGCTGCAGTTACTAGCGTGTTAGAAATCAGGAAGTCTATCCACATAAGGTAATGAATGCCTAAGGTACAAGTTGGTCAAAAGTTTGCTCATGACATAATTTGAACTTGTGATATCATAAATGATACTGTGATCCTTTTACCAATAGAGGCTATCGGGCTTGTTGGAAAACAAATATGACAATAAAGAGAAATAGATCAAAACAAATATTACTAAAGTATTTTAAATCATAATATTCAATATTCTTTATTTCTCCCACTAACTATATGAGTTTGCAATTTTTATAAGAGTACCTTTCACGTGTTCCGAGTTACAATTTTTCCGTCCTCTTAAATCAATTCTCATATCCTAAGTATTATAATTTTCTGATATGTTTTATGAATTCATGACACTAAATACTCGATGGTTAATTTGGAAAAATGCTAATGTCATGCTCCTAGTATACCTAAAAACCTTCTGTTATATAATTTTAGATTTTTTAGTAATCGTTGGTCAGTTTACGGTAACACTTGACAAAGCACGGATAATTACAGCTAGAGTATTAAAACTTGTATCGATCCGGTACGAACCTTACAACTTTCATTTCGTGCATTGAGATCCTTAAACTAGGGAAATTACCAAAAAATTCCTAAAACTGTTGCAATTGTGTCAATTCAGTTATAAATAATTTTTTTACCAATTGAGTCCTAAACTTTTTGCATTTATACCAATTCAATCCATCCGGCTAATTTTAACTGGAAATCACTGACGTGACGCCGCTGGTACCGAAGTGAACAATTTTTATAATTTTTTAACAATTTTATGAATTTTTTTTATTATTTATTTTTTTTTTTTTGTTTACTCCATTGTGATTGGTGACGGGTGAGGCTCAAC